ACACTAATGACCCAAATATACCCAAATATGACATTTTTCCCTTTAAACTCAATATTGATCCAAAGGTCCAAATATTACCAACAACATCAATAATCTCTTTTTAAGACCCCATATATATATATATGAGTCAAAAAGACAAAATCCCTCTTTTTCAATATAATACATTACACATCCTAACTTCCCAAACCAAACCATTTATACAAAAGCTCTACATTTAGGTTAAAGATCATAAAGATGAGTAGGAATTCCTGCCTCAAAAGATGAAACCCAAAAGAAAAGATGAAGAACTCGAAAATGCTCCAAATCCCAAGATTCTCGGATCAAAATGTAGCCCTCAATGACCAACACACTTTTTACAAAGGCCTAAGGGTAGAAAATTACTCATACTAGATCAATTCTAAGAGAGAAGGAAGAAAGTAGTGAGAGAAGCTCTCAAAAATGGCTTTTCGAAAAAGTAAGAGAGAGTGAAAATTGAAAAGTGATCTAAAAAGACCCAGCTGATATCTGATATATGTATGACCCGCTCAAGCGGAGAATAGGACGCTCGAGCGTCAAACACAAAAACTGGACCCGCTCGAGCGTAAAGATTCCCGCTCGAGCGCCAAGACACAACTGCAAAACACACCCGCTCGAGCGCAAAGGGAAGGCCGCTCGAGCGTAGATTTCCCCCTTCTAGAACTTTTACAGACAATGAACTACCCGCTCGAGTGCCAAGACACCCGCTCGAGTGCTACCCGCTCGAGCGTAAGGAAATACGCTCGAGCGTGAAAAACACACCTGCAGAAGTTTTGCAGAGGCACGAAATGCTGAGAGTGTGAAAACCCCGCTCGAGTGCAATAAGGCCTGCTCGAGCGGACAACCAAAAATCAAACTCCGCTCGAGCGCAAAGGGATCCGTTCAAGTGTACCACCAAAAATCTGGGCAACAAGGAATGGGACTAAAACTCAACCAATTTGTTCGAAACACGCCCAATACATCCTAAAACTCATACACACGGAATTAAAGGATAACAACAAGATATACAACCACCAACTCCACGGAACCTAAGTCCGGAATACAACAATCAAAGGAAGAGAAACCGGGATCGCTATAACAGTAAGATCGTAAGAGTTATTCACATTGATGCATAAAAAATTACAAACTCAAATCATAAATAGCATACTCAAAGGGAATCAAGTATAAAATCTTTACAATCTTAATAATTTCAGTTATCAAAGGAGTTCTGATTAATTATGTGATATATTATTATAATTGCAAAATTTTTATTTCAACTAAATTATTTTTGCATATTTTTTTGGGCAGAGCTCATAAATATGTATTATCAGTAATAATATTCAAAAAATGTATTTAAAAATTATTCAAAATACATTAATAGGTGCCTTAAATATACACAATTATTTTCGATGAATCATTATTCTTTAAAATAATACTCCACATTATTTATCATTTGACATTTATCAATTTATCTTCTAAAAACTTGACAAAAAAAGTAATTGAGTTTTATTATTTTAATTAATCAATATCAAAATTGAGTTAACTTTAATTAATGTAATGATATAAAATCATAATAGAGTTAATTTTAATTAATGTAATGATATTTTATATTATGATAAATGTTGAGAATAATATTAACTTTAAATAAAGTTTTAATTTTAATTATTTATTTTAATAATCTTAGCCTTATCGTTCTATAAAAGTGTTACTTGAATACTTATATATAATAAATTTAGTTAAATTATCTGTGGTGGATTGAGCGACGATGGCTTTAGTGACAAAACGATGGCTCTAGCCATTAGCGCATTTTCAGCATGTTTTCAAAAGATGTTTTGAGTTCATATCTTCGCTCACATCTCTTTCCGGGCATCCTTAGACATGAATCATGAATTATTAAGGATTAATAACCTAAGAAACAACATAAGTAAGTGAATTAGAAAATATGAGACTAATGCGAGCATGTGGTTCATGTGTATAAGTTATGTGAAATGGATTGAATAAGAAATCAATGTAAGGAAAGCTAAGCCATATTGGCCATACAGATGTGTAATGATAAGATATGTTTTGTGTTATGCACGTTTATGTTTGTAGGTCAACGTTCGGAGATTGATCAAACGTTTTTGGAAGCTCACTGTGAGTAACGTTATTATAAAGATATATTCATATGAATTATATTCGACATGTTATTTGATAAGTCATGATTTCTGAAATGATATTTTGTTTAAGTGAATGAATGTTCTATTTTTGAATTTACTATGGCATCCAAAGAAAGTCCTAAGTCATGGGGGACAATATCTCAATGCGAGTTCATGACATATATGTGATTACAAGATCTCGTTAGCCACTTGACCAAGTGGTGTTATGTTGATAATCGGTGACCAGGACCGATTACTCTAGTCGGAAGACATTATGAAATATTCTATTGGATGTATCATTATTATGTTCAGGTATGAGTATGATTATGTTATGATCTGTTTTATGATTATGATATGTTCGGAATACGTTCACAAACCTCTTTATCTTAATATTATTCACTGGGTTTTAACTCACTGTTTATATATATATATATATATATGTAGGTGAGCGAGTGCAAGATTAAGTCTAATGGCACTTGTCTAGATCTATGTTTTTGTCAACTAACTTATGCGCCTCTCGTGGAGGTTCCGGATACGTCAAGTGGTTAAGGCTATATGATTGAGAATCTAAGTTTTGTTTTCTTCTGTCATGTTTGAACAAGTTTTTGTTTATTTTGTGTATGGAGCTAAGCCCCTTTTGACCTATCTGTATTATATGATGATGTCATGATATATGTATATAAGGTTAAAAGATTTTATATTTCATATAAGTCTGTACAGCTCAATGGACGATATATATTTTTATTTTGCTTCCGCAGCCCCTTATATTGTGATTCGATTAAGAGGCTTTCGGTAATTTTAGGATTATTGGCCGGTCATGATGCTAAACCTATAGGGACGAGTTTGGGTCTTGACAGAGTGGTATTAGGGCACGAGCTTTATCTCACTCACTCGTCCATTGAGCTATAGAGAGTCTAGAAGAGACTTCAGGATTGCATTCTTGTGTAATTACATATTAGAGTGGGATAAATTGTATGATTACATGTTCTGAATTTGTACATGTGAACATATTTTATTTTTTGTGTTTATTATAATACAAATGTTACATAGAAAATGGTAAGGAAAAGGGGTGACGAGCTAGAGGAGGCATCCTCCTCAAGACTAGATAGATTGGAACGAATGATGCACGATATGGCTGAGGCCACAAGACAACAACAATAGCAGGAACAACAACAACAACCACCACCCCCACCACCAATGCCTACGCCACCTCCAGTTCCGGGGTGTCAGCCAGAGACCTGTACTGTTGCTTTGACTAGAGAGTTTAAAAAGATGAAGCCACCAATGTTTGATGGCAAAATTGAACCATTGAAGGTTGAGGCTTGGGTTTTGGGGATTGAAAAGTTGTTTGAAGTATTCCCATGTACCGAAGCTCAGAAAGTATAACTAGCAGCATTTACCCTAGAAGATGATACCAGACATTGGTGGATGTTAGTGCGAGATGATAATAAGGATGTTACTTGGGCTCATTTTCTAGAAATCTTCTACGAGAAATATTTTCCCCAATGTGTGCGGGATAGAAAGGCAGCTGAATTCATGGAACTCAAGCAGGGAAATAAATCAATTGCTGAATATGAGGCTCAATTTATAGAATTAGCTCGCTTTGCACCCCACATGGTAGACAGATTACAAGAAAGCTAGACAGTTTGAAGGAGGTTTACGTGACCCAATTCTAGATAAAATCAATGTATTCAAATTGCCGACGTATGTGGATATACTTGATAGGGCACTAATAGTGGAGAGAAATGTGGCCAACCGTAAACGAAATTTTGAATGGAAAGGCAGAAAACGGAATTTTAATAAGGGAACTACGTCAATGAACAAGAAGTTTAAGTCGGGGAGTTTTAGTAATAATGGTTCAAGCCAAAGTGGTAATTCAATGCCTACTTTTACTACATGTGGAAAGAAACATGGAGGTGAACCATGATTTTTATTTATTTTATTATTTTATATAAAAATAATTTAAGAATTCTCATGCTAACAACTATCATAAAAATTCGATCACTAACAATTCTTTAACAACTCTCATACTAACATAGTGAAAAAAAAAATTCTCACTAACAATTAGGGATGTGCGCGGCACAATGTGAGCAGTTTAAGAGTAAAATTAGAAGCTGAATGACAGATTATAATTCAAAATATATTTTTTTGTCAATGGTAAATATAGTTTTTAAAATAAATTATTAACAAATATCTGATTCGATCAGGTAACTATTAATATTTGATCAAAATAATTTTTATAAAAATAAAACATCCAATAAATTTTACATATTAAATAATTTGAATCATCAAAAAAAATTCACCATAAATCTCATAAACCGAACAATATTACTTGGAAAGATGATTTGCGGCTAAAATAGTCATAAAAGACAAAATATGTTATTTTAATCACAATAAACAAAATATCATATTCAATCCATAATTCTCTTACAAAAAAAAATCAAAAAAATCAAAAAATCTTTTCCAAACTAACTTTTCTAACTCAAACTAAAAAAATTAAAAAATCAACCCATTTCTCACGCCAATCCTAATTCACTTTAGAAAAATGTTTGAGTGCGACAAAATCAGTGGCTCAAATGGCTCAAAACTGTCAAAACGTTTTGCGTCATTTTACGCCCAAAACGTTGTCGTTTTGACAATTTTAAACCATTTGAGCCACTGATTTTGTGACCCTCTACCATTGCTGTTCACTTTATAAACCGGAGACAAGACTGATGATTTTAACTTAACTGGGTAACAAACCTCTCTTATGTTACGGCTGAAAATAAACGGGCCTGCCGGGTGTGTCCGGTAACGGAAGGACGAGAGAAATTAGAATAAAGATTATAAAAAAAGTTTTAATGATATGATAAAAAGTGGAATTGACATATGATGTGATGTGGATATTTTATCATTTATCATTGTTGTCGGAGAAATTATTGCCATTTGTGTAAAACGCAAGCGCTGGGTTGACGCTCACTGGCAGCAGTGAGCCCAGCAGATGTTGAGTTGCAGTTGTTTATGTAGCACCAGACTCTTCTCTCCAAATCCGATCGCCAGAGCGTTGAAATCGAATTCCAAGTTGAATCAAACCCAACATCATCATCATCATCAACAAAAGATTTTCCTTTGCACTAGTCGGAGCAACTTGTCAGTTACAGCTATGGAAGCTCCTCCTCAGACCGAACAACCCTATAATAACTCCTTCGAATTCGATGGTTTTCTCTCCAACAAACCCTACAACCCTCCCTCCTGGGCCTCCCATCTCAACCCCATTCCCTCTCACATCTTCTCCCTCGGACACGTATTCATATCCCCTCTCACCTGCTCATTTCAATTTTCATTTATTTCTTGAAAAGATCATCTTCTTTTTATTTTGTTTATTTGTTTTATTTTCTTCTTTCTTCCCAGTTTCCTACTCCAATTCACAAATGGAACCTTCCTAATTTGCCCAACAACACTCAAGTTTGGTTGAAGGTAACTAACTAACCAACTAACTTACTTACTTTTCTATTCTTTTTCATTTGCCCCCTTTTTGATTTAAGTATTTTTACTCATGAGTAGTAGTTGTATGATGCTAGTTTGTTAGCTTTGTCAACTTAATAAGCAAATAAACACCCTTTTGGATTCAATGTTTTTTTTTTCTTTTTCTTTTTCTGAATATCAATATGTTGTGATACCTACTTTATGCGCAATAACTAGAGTGAAAATATGTTATTTGGGCAAGCTAAATTTTTTTTTTTAGTAGTATATAGACCATGAGGAAAACATTCCTTTGAACAAACCTGAATGAAAATATGTTATTTAAACAAATATTCATAGCTATGAAGCATGGATACTTTTAAAAGGGAGTCGTATCCGTACATGGATAAGTATCCGACACTTGATGTTAATTTTGACAAGTATGGGACACTATTAAGACATTCTAGGTTATGTATCCAAACTATTATGAAATTCAAATTGTAATAATTTTTGCATATTGGTTGTAAATTGTTAAAATAAATACAAGGACAGTTTTTTAATATTTTCTTATTTCTTACCAAAAAGAAAATAGTGCAATTAAAGTAGTCTTTTCTTTTTTAGATTTTATCAACTTAAAGTATCCACTGAAAAATAAAAAATAAAAAATAAAAAAATGACTATTGGATGTTAAACTAATGTAATGTCTAATTCCTAAAGAATGGTTTCTCACTATTCTTTAAGTTCATGTATAATATAATGCTAAAAGCCATTAAAAAAAAATTCAACTTATCATAGCCATACTCGTATTCAATTTTTTTAGATTTGTCGTATCACCATATCTGTATCCCATATTTGCATCCATGTTCATAGGATATGAACTACCATCTTGTTAATGCATCAAATGGGTTATAATTTTCTCAAGATTCCTTATATCCAATGCTAGTGTCTTTGGTTCTTCATTTGGCCTGAATGGTTGGTTGGCACTTCTTGTGGTTTTTATTATTTGAGTTTGCAATAGTGGCTTGAACCCTTCATTGCCATTCATGAGATTGTATGTCATGTCTGGGTCACTTCAAGGAATATGTTCTGTTTCATTTTGGCATAAAAGATTCTAGTTTGGGTAATTACTGGTCGGTTTCAATTCATATGGTGTGTTTTTTATCAGTTGTATTCATGTGAAATTTTGAGTTGTCGCATATTTTTCTCCACTCTCTTGGTTTGCACTTATACAAAAATTTGCATTTGTACAGCGTGATGACCTTTCAGGAATGCAGTTGAGTGGTAACAAGGTCAGGAAACTGGAATTCTTGATGGCAGATGCTGTGGCACAGGGGGCGGACTGTATTATAACTATAGGAGGCATCCAAAGCAATCACTGCCGGGCTACTGCTGTAGCTGCCAAGTACTTGAATCTAGACTGTTACCTTATATTGCGCACCTCAAAGGTTACTTATTTTGCATTTTAGAAAAATGTTTCTTGTTTTGGAAACAATTTTCTGAAACAAGTTCTGCTATGTCTTCATATTCTGCAGGTTCTTGTGGACAAAGATCCTGGATTAACAGGCAATCTCTTGGTTGAGCGTTTGGTTGGAGCCCATATTGATCTTGTTTCAAAAGAAGAATACGCAAAAATTGGGAGCTTGGTAAACCCATTTTATTTCAGTCTTTCTCTAGATGCACTACGATTGTCACGACCCCAACCCCACAATTGGAGATTGGGGCCATGACTGGCCAGTAGCACCTTGCTACCAAAGGCATGAGCTGAACAGAATAGAATGTGCACGTGTTTCATCTTCAAACAATTGTATTATTAATGGAAGCTTATTCATAAATAATTGTGTATTCATCTCATCAGAGCAAGTGTCTACGTCCACATTCCCATTCCCAAATGTATATATTCAACATAAATATATTACATTACACTTGGTTGAGGATACTAGAAGGCCATCATGTTTCTACATCGTTATATAACATCCAAAAGCGACATAACTAGTCTCATTCATACACTTAACATCACAAGACTTCCTCCATTATACACAGAGTCTTCATAGAAAATATACAAATTTCCTTTGTACTAGTGCCTCTTAAAACAATTAAACATAATAGAGTGAGCTACAAGCTCAATGAGCTAAGAAGCACGAAGGCTACACATAATGAGGAACCACATTGAATTAATTGTTTGTCTGTGTGTATTTTGTAAGGTGTATGCCATATAAATGTTATTCTTTCATCTCTCATACACAATTTACTGGAATTCATGTTGGATGAGTAGTCTTTGATTGATTGATTGATAATTACATGTATTAAAATTATACGACACTTCTCATGCTATTGCTGCTTAGCAGCATAAATTTTGTTGATTACTAACTGGTACGCTTTGTGTAGCAAATATGACAAAGTTTTCCTTGTGTCTCTAATTGTAGGAGCTTACTAGTTTGCTAAAAGAAAAGTTGGTAAATGAAGGGAGAAAGCCATATGTCATTCCTGTCGGTGGATCAAATTCTCTTGGAGTCTGGTGAGAAAGGGATATGCCTTTATACTTTTTGTGCCTTATGGTTTTTGTTTTCTATTGGGCAGTACGTGTATGACTTTTTGAACATTGTGAATGGTCCATTACTGCTACATCAATGGAGTAGATTTGACATTTTTTTACTTAATTTAATTTCACAAACTGGCCTTTTGGAAAACCTTATGGAAAGAAGGTTGTCTTCTTGAGGAAAACTTGGCATATAACTCATTCACAATTTTTTGGATAAGTAACAGATAATTAATTCACGACAATTGCCAACTCTTGTATTATGTGTCAATTGCTATGGCCATGGGAAGCTATGTGTTCCATTGCTCTTTCTTTCAAGCATTTATAGAATTCATGACATGACGTCTCAAAAATATATTTTTTTTGATTTGTCGTCCAAAGAATAGCAGCAGTGAAAGGCATTGGGTTTAATATTAAATGAAGTCCTGGTTACATCATTTACTTTTATTTTACAATGAAATACTTGTATTATAAATAGACCATGAAGAATTGTCATGCTTTATGTAGGTTGAGTTTTATGGGAACTTTTAGGCTGTGTTTGATTCGTGGAAAGAGAAAGGAAAAAGGTAGGTGAAATGCGAATGAAATATAACTACATTTCACCTATATTTCACACACTTTTTCCCTTTCCATTTCTCTTTTCAAATCCCTCTCCAAATTCATGAACCAAACACAACCTTCAAATTTTGGCCTGGCCGGTGTGCGTGTCTCATAAGTAGGCTTGAAAGTTTTGTACTCATATATCCTTATGATTTTACACTAAATCAAGGAGATACAGAATGGAAAGTTTAAATTGATAAATCTTGTTGAATCCATGCACCCTCCTAAATTTTAATCAGAAGTGTTTATTTATGAGACAGAAATATGGAGTAGGTGCAGGATTTGTGTCTGCTCTCTTTGTCAAGTCTTGCTAATATTGGTCTGAATGTGGACATTATTGTAATGATTTATTGTTTCTCTTTCTCATAGTGAGCTTGTTGGTTTACATGGTACCTTATTAGGGGCTTCAGTTGCAATGCCCTGGATCCAAAGACCCAGAACTGCAAACCCGCTTAGTAACTTAATGTGCCAAGTGATAAAGGATTTTTATTTAAAAAGATTCATATTCTAGTTAAATATTTAAAGTGACATAACCTGTTTAGAAAAATTATCATTTCCAATTATCGCTCAGTCATGATTGCTATGGAATAGTCTGATGATCACATACATTCCCCAATTGGTCTCCATAAAGCGACAAAATTATGCAAATTACAGTTATTCAAAAGCTAAGCCAAGTCTGACAAATAAAATAACAAGAATTCTAAAGCAGGAACAAAAGGTTTGGGACCGCCCTTAACATCTCTATATCCTATGGTAGGACATAGGGTGGAAACCCCACTCGAAATGAGCACTATTGCACGCCTCTCTACCCCTCTAAAATATACAAGTCTAAACCATGTAACAAATACTAAAGTTCACTCAAAATTACAACAAAATATCTAAGGTAATACATAAGAGTGATTCTTCAAGTCCCAAACATTACTCAATGCAGTCCCCTCGTCTCGTTTCCTGAAAAGAAGGGGTGAGTTCAACATGCCCAATAGGAAAAGTCTTTTACGACCCTACATGCTATTATGGTGATATATGTAAGTGTGCAGTATACCTTACATGAATTCAATACAAGAATAAAACCTATCATGTTCTATCCTATATTCATTCTAGTCAACCATCCAGTTCCCATCTAATACAATCCTTAATGCCCAATTTGGTTCAAGGTTGACTGCATAAGTCCAACACCATCCTAAGTCATTTTCTCACTCATGCCAACTTCTAATCGGTGACAAGCTCACAACTTGACATGTTAAACCAAGCAAACATATTCACAGTAAATCACACAAAGCCATTCATCTCATCATGCACATAAAGATAAAGGAACTATCATAGTACTATGCATAAATTAATAATGATATGTATGCAAACCAAAGCAAATACGTATGCACATGCACATACACATACACATACACATACACATACACACACACAACACATACATTCTTGGAATTTAACATGATGATTGTTTTGGTTTGGCTTTGCTCTCGGTTCATGATATTTTCAGTCAAAGGCTGTAGTGGGTTGATAAAAAGATTGTCCTTTATTTTTGGTAATTGGATTTTTCTTTTGTAGAAAGTGAAATATTTCTTGACTAATTTGAACTTTACTACTCTCAAACTCAAGTTTTCATAACCTGTTCCATATTTTCCTTTGCAACTTCTATGATCTATGGTAAAAGCTTACATTCAGTGTGTTGATGTTAGCACTTTGCTTTTGATCTCTTGCAGCCTGTTTTTCTTATATTGATCTCTCATTGTATTTATAAAAGATTTGGTTCTGTTCAGGGGCTATATCAAAGCAATTAAAGAGATAGAGCAGCAGCTCCAGAGTGGGAATAGTGAAGCAGGGTTTGATGACATTGTTGTTGCATGTGGCAGGTTTTGTTCTATTCCATGTATTATTTTTTTATGGCTGGAAGCATTTTTTCTACATTTGATTATGACTTCAGTTGTGCCTATCTAATAATTAGGTATTTTTATAGATATTTTATTTCAAAGGAAATGAGTGGATTTGATTAAGCAATAGTTACTAAATTTCGAAACAGTGAACCTGAAGGATATCACACATGAATTAAGTGATTGGTTGGTTGGTTTATGATGCAAATGAATATTCTGACACATGTTCAAAAGGACCAAGTATTGCTAGTCTAATGCACAGAGTGCTCTGATTCTGTCTCCTTAAAATACATTTTTGTATCTCTCTGAATGGCTGTGTTGTGCAAATAATGCCAGGCAGTTGGTTTACACATTCCGCCCTTTTCAGCACCTGAATTTATAGAACCATCATTAGGTACAACCTTTTTTCCCAATTTACTTGGTTTTCTTGTGGGATGATGCCAATGGTTCCACTGTAAGATCAATTTGCAGTAGCTGCATGTATCTAGGTTGTAAACATACTATACGCAACTGAGGTATTGTATTGTTTGACATCTCTACAAACATTTAAAATTCTACTAATAATCTATGGAGGTTATGCACAACTTTTGGGGTTAGGTTTGCGAAAGTGGAGGATAGTAAGTTGAATGGGGAGAGAAAAAGTGAAATGATTATGGATTTGATGTGATATTTTGTCTTATTAGCTATTTTAGCCTATTTTGTCTTTTTGTGATTTTTAGCCCAAACTAGGCTATTTTTTTTCTTCCCAAACACCCCCATTATATGGTGCAGAAATTTGTGGATAAAAGCGAATTGTGGGTTGTATTGTTTGTGGTAAAACTAACAGGCATAAAGTGTACGGTAAAATGTAAAGAGTTCTACAGGTAGGGAGATTCAATTCCATTCACTTTTATTGCATACATTTTAGGAATCAATCTCAAATTAAATTACAAGGGAATCCTTCTTGGGTTAGTGTTCCACCACTTAATCATAGGCCACTGATGAGGGAGAGAAAGTCGCACACCACGCTTTGTTATGTAAGTACCTGTATGTGCATACAAACATCTCCTGGGGTGTCTCAATACAGAACCAAGGAAACTATGGTGGCTTCTAGCAGACATGGGATCGATCAACATAACCATAACAGAACTATGGCGCTTGCAGGGGCTTCACAGATGGTAGATGAATTAGGGACTCAGTTGGCCTACTGGATGGAACTACCCACTACTTTGTCAATGTGGTCAACCAAAATGGAGCAATGAAGAAAACCCAGTTGTCGGATGGTTCACATCATACAAAACTCATCTGACATCTCCTTCGACTGCAACCAACTTGGCTGATTTGACTCGGCCATTACCGCTCTGAGCTTTACCTCCTTTACAACTGAAATCACTCCCCCACTGTATTGATAATCACCCAACTAAACTAGATGCCAAACAAAGCCAAAATTATTGAAATTTCCTTGAACTATAAAATAACCATGATGCCCCAAATTATGTAAATCTGACTTTCTCATATCAAAATATATTGCAATACAAATATATGGAAAAGTATGAATGCAATATGATAGGCTGTAAACAATGTAATTTTTTGGGACCTTAGCATGATATCAAAAAATATGGTAATGAGTGATTTTCATTTTTCATAACTAGTAAGGACTGAAACATTGGATTAATAACATTCTTATGATTTGCTTCTTGTTCTTGAACTATGCAAGTGCTGAAACTGGTTGGCTTTTTTAGAATTCTGTCTTTAAATAGCTTGGTAGCTAGTTGATTGTAGCAATAACACCCAGCTGGGTTGTTTTTAGCTTTATTTTTCTTCCTTTTCTTTTTTGTATTTTTATTTTTATTTTTATATTTATATATATATATATATATATATTAAATTTTAGTTTATTTATTATTTTACTTCCTTGTGTGAAATGGTGCAACCAGACTTATTAGAACTGAAAAGATTGGAGTTGCCTTGGACTCAACAGATACTTCATAGCTTGATTGTACAGTTATCTAGCATTTTCTTTGCGATGATCATAAGCAAAAACATTACAGTAAACTGCTGATGTTCATTTATCATGTTGTTTTCCGTTGCATTATTTTAGTGGAGGTACAATAGCTGGTTTGGGGATTGGATCATGGCTGAGTAAATTGAAGGCAAAAGTACACTTTCTTTCCTCTTGGCTTCACATTTTGTCTGCTTATTGTGACAATTGACTTCATTAATTAGTTGCGTTGTTCTTAGGTTCATGCATTTTGTGTATGTGATGACCCTGATTACTTCTATGAGTATGTTCAAGACCTACTTGATGGACTCCAAGGAGGTGTTAATTCACGCGATATAATTGACATTCAAAATGTGAGTACTTTATTCAGTTATCTGATATCAATTTGGTATAAAAACATTTTGTTCTTTCGTGACATAACATGTTATCACTTGTTGGTTTTATTCTACCTGTTTTGAAGAAAATTATTTGCTTAGTGGAACATTTAGTCATAGGCTTGGACTGAGCTTTACTGAATGAACTAACAGTATAAACAAGCAATGTCAAGATAGTATAAAAACTAGTGTGACATTGTTTCTTGTAATGAGCCCCTAATTCTCTTTTCCTCCTGATTCTTTTGGTGAGCCCTAAAGATTGTGCACAGGCAAAAATTAACTGAATATGCCACTTGTGATTATTTTCTTGTTTTTCTGTAGGCCAAAGGTCTCGGCTATGCCATGAACACTACTGAGGAACTTAAATTTGTCAAGGAAATCGCTGAGGCCACCGGTGTTGTTCTTGACCCTGTTTACAGGTTTGATGTTATACTTTGCACACAATAGTTTCTCCACTTGTGTATCTTATTACTTATAGTCATATGTGTACAACTAAATTATGTAAGTTTGTTGGTCTATCTATATAAACACTTCCGAGTTCCATTGGAGATGCTATTTTTCTCATAGGAAATCTGTGAAAGAAACACTTCCAAACAGTTGAATGATTTTTTAGAGGTCTGTGGCACTTCCAAATGTGCGGCCTGTTGGCTATGTTTCTTGGACTACTGTAAATTTTTGAAGTACCCATGTCGGACACTTCACACATGGGTAAGGATATGAGATGTGTTCGAAGTTGGATGTGCGCCCAACTAATATATTAAAGCATTATGATGAAACTATTAGTAAGACTCATTCTATGCCTAGAAAACTCTATGTTAGCTTGTAAACACCATTTTAGCCTAAATAAATAAATAAATGTACAAGAAACATGAAATTTAGTCATGTCTTGGCGTATTTGGGAATGAGAATTGGATTTTCCTGATGTTTAGACACATACCTGTACCTGATGCCAGTACCCCAAGTCCATGTGACATAGCTTGTTGGATAATTATTTGGATACAACACAGCTTCAGTATTGATATGAGATGTGTCAATAGTCAAAAAAAAAAAAAAAAACAGAATACAAGTTCCTCTGTGTGTGTGTGTGTTGGTATTCAAATTCCAAGCCACAAGATCCATGTGATTCTCTTAACCTGTTTCTAGTTACATGTGTCTTCTAAAATGAGAGTACCTTGTATGGCATGCTAACACTGACATGAAATCTAACCCTAGTTTTAGAAGAAACTGGAATGAGGCACTTCATTTAGCAGCAATATCAAGTCCCCCAAAATAGAGTATTGCTGCTTTGAAAATTATGTGCACCTGATGGACACAGCACATATAGACCTAGAGGGGGGCAAGAGGGCGCAATCACCTCCCTACGATTTCAAAAACACTATTTATTATAGTAGTATTAGCTACAATTATTTACAAATTATAGATACTTGCTAAGTTTTTCTTATTTTACAAATTATAAGGATCATCCTCTCTAGATTTTAAAAAAAAGTTTAAGTGACCATCACTCTATATCTATGAAACATGTGATCAAAATATAAAATTAAAAAAAATGGAAAACATAATAAATTTTTTTATAATTTTTATTTTTATAACTAATGTTGATTACAAGCTATAGTATGTAAAGAATAGAATGAGGTATCAGTTAGTTACTTGATCACGCTAGTAGAAATTGATATTATAATTCATACTTCCTTTTAAAAAAAATTGTTTGTATATATATGATCACCCCCCTATATGAAAATCCTGGGTCCGTCCACATATCATTTGGGTTCCCTATTACCTAAGGTAATATTAACAGAGATAAACATAGACACAAAACCACTTTGAAGTGACATTACTTTAAAATACTATATTGTTGATAATACAGAGTTGTAGCAGAACTTGTGCCCAAGTCTTGATAAATGAAGTTGTTCGACTAATTTTATTCTCTCTGTTTTATTATCATTCAACTGTTATCTTCAAAGATGACTTACTATTTAATATTTTAGCATTCAGTGGGAGTATTCCCTAACCTTCAAGCCATCACTTTTCATCATCAGATCATATATTCAGTTGAATATACTTATCAAATAAACATACAGTCTAATTTACTTGAATTTCGTATCAGTGTTAATCCTGTTCGTGCATTAATGCACAGTTATTTCACAAGGTGTTGGATGTAGTCATCTTTCGGGGAAAAAGAAGAAAAATAAGAAAGAGGTAGAGTAAAAAACCTGGTGAAGGCTGGTTAAGGATTGCTTCAGTGACCAACATGTAACTAGATATGAATTTTGGGATTCTGATATTAGTATTTTTTTTTTTGTATAGACATTGCTTTTGAAAGTCAGATTTTATGGGTTTCCTCAGGGTCAACTAATCTATCAATCCAATCAAGCCACAAGACTGCAAAGGTTGCAGTATCTCACAACAGGCTATTAATTATGTGGTTGATCTCTGATTTAGAGGTTGATTAATGATTTTACTGTTTACAAGGAATAGATTGTTCCCTTGCTGCATATTAGCTGAATATGACTACTCTGTATAGGTAATTTGAGAAAAGAACAATGTTTAGAAAATATTAGTGTCATAAGTTTAAAACAAGAGCCACAACCATGAAGAAAGATAGAATAAAACAAAACAAAATACGGTATCGATAAAACAAAGCGTGTGATAATAATCAGATTTGTATGGTCCCGATCCAATTCGATGACCTGCAAGAGAAGATAAGACGAGTCTTTGGGGCATCGGTGTGGTGCTGGCCAAAGACCCTCCAATGCCTTTGTTAGAGATGTAGGCTTAGTGAGAGAGTACAGATGAGAAAGAGCTTAGGGTCTTTAGTGCCTACCTTGGCCTTTTATAGAGGGTTTTTGTCTTGACACATTGGTGGTGGTGGGCTTCAATCTTTCTGGGCTGTGAGCCTTATGGGTTGATCAACCAAACCCAAACCTTAACTAATTGTATATATATCAATGTGAAAATAGAAAGTCCTGGACATATAGCGAAATGGCTAGTTTACCATCATCAGACTTTGAGACTGGGCAAATTCTATCAGGAAAATGCCTGGTTTCCTTAAATTGAGTGATTGTTTTCATTCCGACATCACAGTCAATACTTGGGGTTGATCCTTCGCTAATTGTATGCAGTTGTCATGACTTTCCTTGTAGTAATAAGTTGTATCATAATATCATTGCCATTTTCATCATTCATCATCATCATCATCATCATCATCATCATTATTGTTGCGATTTCATGTGTTTTAGAAAGAAAGAAAAAAAAAAAATGGACAAAGCAAGGTAAGTTTTAACCTTTATTTATCATTCTTATTTTTGATAGAGATGATACCTTTGACATGTTTTTGTTGCGTGTTCTTTTCAGTGGAAAAGCTGTTTATGGACTGATGAAAGACATGGTTGAGAACCCAACGAAGTGGGAAGGGAGAAAGATCCTCTTCATACACACTGGTGGACTCCTTGGCTTGTTTGATAAGACTGACCAGATGATGCCGCTGGTGGGGAATTGGCGTAAAATGGATATTCATGAATCTATACCACGGATGGATGGCACTGGAAAAATGTTTTAGGCTAGTAAATAAATTGCTAGTTTTAAATATTTTCAGTGCCTCCAAGTCTCAGACAGAATCATTTTTTCAATGAAAATCAACTTTGTATTTGCAACAGTAATTCATGCATCTTTTTTCTTCATGTGCTATCTGAATTTTTTTTTCTTCCTTCTATTGAACCTGCCATGCATAAACACTTCACGGTACTGAATGTCCACACACAAATAAATAAATACATTGCATCTCTCCTGAAAATTTGAGAAATTATAATTTACTCTCAATGTTTGGCAAAATTACACCGTGTTTCCTTTATATTTGGATTCACATTACAGTTGTCCCCACACTGTTGACATAACAGAATATTCTAGTTACAATCTATACATGGGTAATAATTCTATTTACACACCACAAAAAATCTCACTCCACATTATGCGAGAGTGAATTTTGCACTGATGAAATGAATTGGAGCTGCGTCACCGAAATGGATAATCCAGGGACTAAGATCTGCAAAATCAAAGAACCGGTGAGAGCTACCTAGCCGGGGTTGGCTAGAGAACCCCTCTCATGTTGAAGTTAGGAAATGGAGGAGGAAGAAAAGGACTCTAGAGACGGAGGGAGTTTGTAATGTGGAATGTCATGTACCTCTTTATATAGTTGCACTGCTTTGCTCTCCAAGGTGGAGGTGACACAGCTTGTGTGCCTCTTAGTTATGGTTAGCATAATTCAGGTAGGGGACCTCAAGTTGATTATACATCCTTGCATATGCCACTTGCACCATACCTCATGATTTGAATATTCCTTCTCTAACCATTTCAGCACCTGGGGACTATGATGAGGTGTCTTGTGCACATGTGGCCTTCACTTAGACGTCAGGCTCACACCCTGGTCTTCACTGCTTACCCTATTATTTGATCATTGCCCCTAATCTTGCCCCCTCTCAGTCCATTGTCTGGTGCAAGCTTGTTGCCTTATTCCTCTCTTTCTCTCTCTCTCTACACCCCAACCCACCCCACTGTTTAGTGTCTCAAGGGAAAATGAAGCATCTGACTGAGAGAGAGAGAGAGAGAGAGAGAGAGAGAGAGAATTTGATGGGGTGAAGTAATGTAGAGAAGGTGGTGTTCATGGTTGGCGGTGACAAAGAATGAGGCATATTTCACTAGTGGATGAAGAAAATAGGTAGTGTGTGTATGTGAGAGAGAACTCTCAACTTCCATGTTATGCCCTATTGAAAACCCCAGCAGAGACCCTCTCCATTGCAACTTTTTCAAAACTCTTAGCGATAGAAGCAACAACAATGACTACAATCATAGCCTCCCACCACATTTATATCACCCCTTCTTTTTGTCCCTTTTGTTTATCTCACCTTGCCTCAATCAATTTTTGAATTTTGTTCATTGTTGAGTTTGATATTGTATGTTGATGAATTTGGTGAAGACTTTCTAGCAGTAGTAGGTGTATGGTGGCAACGGTGGTGGCTGCATTTAGTGGTAGTGATGTTACGGTGGCAGTGGTGGTAATTACATCTGGTGTGCATGTGAGCTAGGGCAGTGGCGATGGTGTTAGGGATTGAACTAGTGATGGAGGAGATAATAGAAGAACTACAGGGATGGTAATAATACGGGTAACGAAAGTAAGGATTGAACCAGTGGTGGAGCCTGGAGGAGAGTGGATTGGTGGTGATACAAATTGAAAAAGTTGTATCTCTTGGGTTTTTGGTATGGTGATGGTTTTAGAGTTGGTGTTGGTGTTGGTGTTGGTGTTGGTCACATCTTCAGTTTTTTGAGATGAAAAGTTTCCTTAAATTTTAGAGTATTTATTTTAAACTATTTGATTCTCATTGAAACTAGAAATAGAGAATGGAAGACAGTTGCAAACTTCCCTTCTGAACAATATTTAAAATTCGAGTGCTGCTTTAGAAAGATCGATACATCTTACATGGATAGAAGTTTTTCCACTACAAAAGCTTTAGGAAGTATGGGCTATGGTTCATTATCTTTCTTCTTCTTCTTCTTCTTCTTCTTCTTCTTCTTCTTCTCTTTCTTCCCTAACTTCACAAGTCATTTCTTTTATTTTCTCTCCTAAACATCCAAACATAATGTAAAAGCTCACTCCTTTTGGTATTGCTCCGTGATCTGAAAGTGGTACTACGAGATAAATAAGCAACATGCTAATTGACCTATGTGTCTAGCTTCTTTTTGTCACTATGACTTGGTTTCGAAAGAAAGCTTTCATTAGATCAAAGCCCTCGAGAATGGCTGCTGGGAGAATTCACAAGTTTGTTCATTTACCAGCACTAGTTTGACATTTGCAAGAAAGATACGGCGACCTCCAAGCAACCCGATTTCCAGGCTTATGGCATTAGAAAGACAATCTTGGAAGCCACACTTGCTCATTTCTTTCCAACTATGTACTTTCACTCTTGTCCAATTTTTTTCCCTCACTGATTTGGTTTTTGTAGTCCTTCACGACAAGTAAAAATTGAGAGAATTTTTCACTGATTTAATTTGTGGATCAGTTTGGTTTTTGCTTTCTTGTGCACTCAACCATTCATTCCTTGGTCAGGTTCTGGATGAAGCTTGCGCTCTGCCTCTTGGTGACCTTTTATATTTCGTTAAGGAGACTTCTCAACGAAATAAATTAACTTATACTAGTACATCTATATATAAATTAACTTATTTATCCCCCATAGAATTGTAATAGTGCCTCTCTTTCAATCATGTAAAGTCTCTTTGTATCTTTAAAATTTTGAAAGTGCTCTACTCTATTCTTTTGAAAAATGTGAATGTAGATTTATAGGTCACGTTAATATAATTCTCATGATAATTATAGTATTATATCCTACTGATTGACAAAAAAAAATAAAAAAAGGAGTTGCTAACAGATGCTTTTGGGACATAAGAAAAAGACTATTTTTTTTAAAAAAAGAAACACTTTTCACCTATTTCAAAACACTTTTAATTGATTTTGAAACTCTTTCAACATTTTAAACAATTTTCCAAGCACTTTCAGCCAATTCCAACATTAATACCTCGAGGACACTCGTTAGCAATTGCCACAAGAAAATGAATATTTAATATTTTCTAGTTGCTTATTATGGGGGAAAAAAACCCCCAATGTTGTGATTAATATGTGCCATTAAAATGTACTAGAACAAATTAAGATTTTAGAAATAAAAATTTAGGGACGAAATATCTGAGTTGCTAAAAGTGTCAGAGTTGCATTTTTAGCGACCAAATTAGACATTTAATAATAAATTACTATTCTTTTTGGGATCAAATTTTTTTGTCTTAAAAAGTTAACTTTTTTTTTTGAACGATATTGTTGTCCTTAAAAGTTCATTAATTAGTGGCATTTTCAAAATTTTAACCCTAAAGTTTTTTAGTGACGACAGAAATTGGTTTTTTTTTCACTTTTGGTGATGAAAACGTTTAGTTCCTAAAACTATTATATGTTGTAATGGTATCTGATGACACCAATTCGAGTTACGAAAGTCTCTCGTGAAATGGGAATAAAACTGTGTAATTCTTCTCCTCTGGGATCAGAATGAAGCTTGGGATGATTTCATCCAATTTTAGGTCCTGCAAATTTGTAACACTTAGTTTCAGATTTGATGTGCAAGAATAAATGATTTGAGGCTTTACACATCGGTAATATTTGTTTTATGGGATTAAGGCATGTGATTGAATTTTATGTTAAATAGATTTACTAGTCCATCATTAGATTGAAAAATGAGAATCGTACTAACAATCAAATACATATAATTTCTAACTAAATAATTCAAAAACTACTAGAAGGGCATTGTTGGTCAATTTCATGAGGCGAATGAATGGCACATTTTTAAAAATGGAAAGAAATTTGAAGATTGAATTATGTTTAATTTTATATATATAGTCGTTTTTGACTGCCCACCTAAGTTGATTGCCCTCAAAGTCTCAAATGGTATGCATGCTGAGTTAGATGTGATAAGCACCAGAAGGCAGACTTGTTTCTACTCAAGCTTTGAATAATATCAGAGTAATTAAAAATGTAATTTTTATTTAAAACAACCAAGCAAATAGAAGATATCCTATATAAAAGTTTTAATATAAAAAAATACATAAAATCAAATAAATAAGTTACAAACATATGTTCCTGCATATCTAGGGTCGAAAATGAATCGAGTCGAGCCAACTAATAGGTTTGTTCAAACTTGATTTGATAACTTAACAAGTTTAAAATTATGTTTAAGTTTGACTTGTTTACATAATGAACCGATCTCAAATGAATATTTTAACTAGTCAAACACGAGTCGAGTTTGAGTATTTTATATTTTTTTTAGGACATAAGCTTATTGATTTGAGTAGTACATTGTTCAAGCTTGATTTAAAAACTTGAATATAAAATTGTGTTCAAATTTTACTTATTTACCTAATGAATCGATTTCGAACGAACTTATTCTTGGAATAAGTTGAGTTGGCAATGTTTGTGCCAAAATAAATGTGGGAGCCAAGCCCCATAGTAGATGGGCTTGAGCGGCAACATATACTATGCGGTGTGGTGATTAACATCATATAATTGGTCGGTTGAATAAGAAATTGGCACCAAAATAAGTTTCATGATGTGTGGGTGATTTTCCGACCACACTACCCGCTTAGTAACCAACTGGAGAGCACTAGCAGAATAGATGGCACCTGACGGACCTGCAACAGAAATATAAGAATCCCGCGGTGGTTTCGACCACCCGGGGACACTCCGACGAACAAGTAAGTATATCTCTCAAAGATAATCAAGTACTAAACTCACAAGCTTGAGTATCAAAAGCATACCTTAGACCCATGGGGGTGCCTCTCTTTTATAGCCAATACAATCCTAGTCCCAAAAGGAGCCTGGTCCTAATGGATTAGATTACTGCTAATCTGGACTCCCAGTGGATTAGGATAAACTCTCTAAGAGTCTTATCTTTACCCAAACTGAATCTTCTCCCAATCTAGGACTCTTGTCCATATCCAAGTTGAGTTCCCTCTTCATTCTAGGACTCTTGTCCTTATCTGCTTATCTCGGATTCGATATCTTCAGGAGCAACCTCGGCCTAGCCGAGATGACCTCGCACAACGACCAGACACTGGCACCTCGGCTGACACGTCGGCGTCCCTTGCTACGTGTTGGTACTCAGAAAATATATCCCCACAACTGCCCCTAGGTTCTATTACCTCGCATTCTGAGGTGATGGAACCTACACTGTTCGTTCATCTGTGCCCCTCTGTCTGAGAATCAAATCGCGACCTCAA